ATGGTGACCCTTGTGGGAAGCATGTAACCAAAGAAGCCATAGGCCCAATGCGGGAGAGAATGTGGCTTCTGGCTGTGGAGCCAGGCTTGAGAGAGGACAGCGAGAAGGAGTGAGTCCTCTTCGTTTCCCCAAGATTTTCAGCTCTGAGCCCGGGGAACATAGTTGCCAGCAGCCTAACCTGACCATCTGTTAAAGTTGTCTTTCCATTCATATCTCCTTCGGCCTGTTTTCTCCTTCTCTCTAGCATGTACATTCTTGTGGCGTACTGTGTAATTTACTTTACTGTTTGTTGTCTTTCCTTCCGCTGGATTGTTTTGCTCCCATGTTTCCTATCCCAAGGAACTGTGCCTAGCACGTAGTGGGTGCTCAGTGTTTGTTGAATGAATGAAATAGCCAACTTAATGCCACTAAAATTATGATTTTTGTTTTGAGTTGGGGTCTTACTTTGTTGCCCAGGCTGGAGTGCAGTGGCACATTCACAGCCACTGCAGCCTCAACCTGCTGTGTTCAGGCGATCCTTTCAACTCAGCCTTCCAAGTAACTGAAACTACAGGCAGGTGCCACCATATCTAGCTAATTTTTTGACTTACTGTAGCGATGAAGTCTTACCAAGTTGCCCAGGCTGGTTTTGAACCCCTAGGTTCAGGCAATCTTCTTGCGCCCACCTTCCAAAGTGCTAGGTTTACAGGCCCAGCTCACTATAATTTCTGTAGCAGTTTTATTAATTAGGCAAATATCTAATGGTGTAGGATTTTAATGATGCCATGAAAAACATTTTGTCAGTTGTTCTTATGTAAATAGCAAATGGATACTTTGTTTTAAACACAGTCAGATATCATGGAGGAAGCAAAAACTTCACATGACACTGTTCTCCAAATAATCTCTATTTGCCTAGAGATAATCAGTATTATAAATTACCAGATTTTTGTATGTATTTCTAGCATCTATAAAAATTATTAATTGTAAATGAGACTAGGCAGTATGTATTATTCTGTAAATTCCTTCCCAGTTTAATTAATATCCCATTTAGTATAGATTTTTTTTATGTTAGTATGCAATAGCTCTACTATGTTCATGTTAACTAGTGAATTTTAAAAATGTAGAATTCTATGGTGATGTACATTTAGATTGCAGCATTTTTTGATAATATGGGAAAATTGAAGAAATTTATAATTTATACAAGTCCTCTATATGTGTGCAAATAATTTTCTAGGATAAAAACCTAGAAATTCAAATGACTGGCTCAAAGGGTTTGAATGTTTAATATTTTAATGGTTTCAACCAAGTTTTTTTTTTTTTTTTTTTTTTGAGTTGGAGTCACATGGCCATCCTAGCATATCAACCTGCTGAGCTCTGGTGTTCCTTCCACCTCAGCCTTCCAAGTAGCTGGAACTACAGGTGTGCGCTACCACACCCAGCTAATTTGTGATTTATTGTAGAGATGAGGTCTTGCCAAGTTGCCTAGGCTGGTCTCGAACCCGTGGCCTCAGGCAATCCACTCGCCTAGGCCTCCCAAAGTGCTGGGATTACAGGCTGAGCCACTGAGCCCAGCCTCAAGTTGTTTTTCTTTTTTTTTTTGCCTCTATATTTATACTTCTTCTAACAGTGTATGAAAATGCACAAGATGTATATTTTTAAATATTTTGTCTATCTGATGGTCAAAAAACCACATCGTTTTGTTTTGCATTATCTGATTACATCTGATTGAGCTGTTTTTCTCTTTGTTAATTAATGATTTGTATATTCTCTTTGTGAATTGTCTATTTTTCTTTGGAATTTTTGCATTTTTAATTTGTATCAGTTATATACTTTGATAGTAACTGATTTAACTGACTGAAGTTTATTATTGTATATAAATTTAAAATACCTGTGTAGTTGCAGTTACAACTGTTTTTAGCTTTGTAAATTATTCAAAAGTAGTTTTGTGTTTGTTTACTTGTTTTATCTTTAGAATTTAAATGTCCCTGCGTTTTTTTTTTCCAAATTGTGTTAATCAAAAATTTAAGTTTTGCCAGGTGGTTAACTATTTGTCTTGACAATACTTGTCGACTAATCTACTGATTTGAAGTTCTACTTTTTTCTTTTTTTGAGTTGGAGTCTTACTCCGTCACCCAGACTAGAGTGCAGTGGCATGCTCCGACCTGCTGGGCTCCAGCGATCCTTCCGCCTCAGCCTTCCAAGTAGCCGGAACTACAGGCGCGCGCAACCATGCCCTGCTAATTTTTGATTTATTGTAGAGATGAGGTCTCGCCATGTGGCCTGGGTGGGTTTCGAACCCACAGGCTCAGGCAATCCACTCACCTCAGCCTCCCAAAGTGCTAGGGTTACAGACTGAGCCACTGAGCCCGGCGACTTTTTCATACATAGTTCATACAGAAACATGGATGTGGACTGTTTAAATTCTTTTCCATTGATCTGTATATTCTAGAATGTTTTTAATTGCTAAAGCTATTGCTTAATATTTGGTGAATCCCTATTGTTTTTATTGACAAAATTCTCTTTCATTCTAGTATTATCTCTTTTTCTTGGCAGGCTCTTTGAAAAACACCATTTGAATTTTGTTTTGTTTTGTTTTTTGTGAGTTGGAGTCTCACTCTCTCGCCCAGAGTGGCGTGTAGTGGCCGCTCCCGGCCACCGCAGCCTCGACCCTCTGGGCTCTGGCGATCCTTCCGCCTCAGCCTTCCAAGTAGCTGGAACTACAGGCATGTGCTACCATGCCTGGCTAATTTTTTGATTTATTGTAGAGATGAGGACTTGCCAAGTTGCCCAGACGGGTCTCGAACCTGCAGGCTCAGTCAATCCACTCACCTCAGCCTCCCAAAGCGCGGAATTACAGGCTAAGCCACCGAGCCCGGTTGCCATTTGGATTTTGACTAGCAGCACGTTGAATTTATAAATGAGAGTTGTCTTTAGTATTATCACCATGTCATGTTATCGCAATATCCTAAATTGAAGCATTAGGAAATAAGAGGGATTGCAAGGAAAGAACGTCTGTCTCTTCAAAGCTCTTTTTGATGTCTTACTGCTGCTTTTTATTCCAGGGAAATGATTTCGTGTGATATGGTTAAAGTTTTGTTTTTCTGGTAATGTAATGCTTAAACTAAGCAAAAAATGAAGTCTGCAGCTTGGTGGCTAGTCAAGCTTCTTTTAGGCTTTCCTTTTTCTCTCCCATTTTTTGAGGCATACCTCAGTTAATGATATACTTACTAATCAATTCTCCAGTGTATTACAGCTATCTTCTTTTACAGTGAATTAAACACAAATACCAGACTATCAGGATTTGTGGATTGTTTTTCATTGTGTGAGTTCCAAAACTTGGGGCATTGTAGATGGTAATGTGGTAGATAATTGTAGTATTAAGATATAAAGAAAAAGAAAAAAAATGTAAAAGGAAAAGTTACATTTAATAATAATTATTCCAAATGTGACTTTCTGAATGTTAGAGGAAATTATTTAAGGAAGGTATAGTGAAATTTTATTATAGGTCACTTGTTCTCTTGTTTTCCAAAAATTTCTAATACGTAGCCTCTTTGAAAGATGCATTAAAAACATCTTTTAAATTTTTCCTTACAGTGCATGTTAAATAATTTGAGTGGCAAGTACATGACAGATCTTTATGTCGACAGATGATTAACTGAAACAGAAGTGTTAACAAGTTGGGGACACTGAATGCATAGAATACTGCAGTTACTAAATATACTGTAGGCTGGGCTCGGTGATTCGGCCTGTAATCCCGCGCTTTGCGAGGCCGAGGTGAGTGAATTGCCTGCGCCTGCGGGTTCGAGACCTGCCTGGGCAACTTGGCGAGACCTCATCGCTACAATAAAAAGAAAAAAAAATGTACTGTAATAATTTTTATACCATAGTGGAAATCTAAGTAAACTGACTGGTTCAAAACAATTTGTGGACTTAATTTTTTTGTTTGTAGATTTGGTCTTTTTGAAGCAATGTCTGCTATTGAAATGATGGATCCCAAGATGGATGCTGGCATGATTGGAAACCAAGTTAATCGAAAAGTTCTCAACTTTGAACAAGCTATCAAGGTAGTCACCTTCGTACTTCTTGTGTTTTCTTCCATCTTTTATTATTTCATATGTTAAAACATCGTGCTTAATAATGAAATCAAACTTATGTATTAACTTAAAGAGAATATCCTTAAAAGTATCTCAAGTATATAAATAAGAATTAGTTGTAACCCTTATTGCATACCTCTGTCTTTTAAAATCTGGAAATTAATTGTTTGAGGTCTTCATTAAAAACTTTCTTGCCGGGCTCAGTGGCTCAGCCTGTCATCCTAGCACTTTGGGAGGCTGAGGTGAGTGGATTGCCTGAGCCTGCCCGGGTCTTTTGGTGAGACCTCATCTCTACAGTAAATCAAAAATTAGCCGGGCATGGTAGCGCGTACCTGTAGTTCCAGCTACTTGGAAGGCTGAGGCTGAAGGATCGCTGGAGCCCAGCAGGTTGGGGCTGTGGTGGCCGGGAGCGGCCACTGCACTCCAGTCTGGGCGATGGAGTGAGACTCCAACTAAAAAAAAACAAAAAACAAAACTTTCTCCACTAGTATCTGATTTGGGATTTTTTTTTTTTTTTTAAAAGAAGCTTTCACTAATTTTGTACATTTGTGTTTTTTGTTTTTTTAAATTGGAATCTCACACTGTCGCCCATGCTGGAGTACAGTGGCATGCTCACAGCCACTGCAGCCTTGACCTCCTGGGCTAAGGCAATCCTTCTACCTCAGCCTTTCAAGTAGCTAGAACAACAGGCATGCACAACCACACCGGGCTAATTTTTTTTTTTTAATTTGTAGAGGTGAGGCTTTGCCAAGTTGTCTAGACTGGTCTTGAGCTCGTGAGCTCAGGCAGTCCTCTCACCTTGGCCTTCCAAAATACCGGGATTATAGGTGTGAGCCACTGTGCCCAGTCCATTTGAGTATTTTTAGAATTAAATTTTGAAAGTTTGTATATTCAAACACCAAGGTAATTGGCTTAGAGATTCAATTGCATGCATTAATTAATTAATTAATTAATTAATTTTTTTTTTTTTTAGTTGCCTAGACTGTGGTGCAGTGGCCACTCCCGGCCACCGCAGCCTCGACCTGCTGGACTCTGGCGATCCTTCCACCTCAGCCTTCCAAGTAGCTAGAACTACAGGCGTGTGCTACCACGGCCAGCTAATTTTTGATTTATTGTAGAGATGAGGTCTCGCCAAGTTGCCCAGGCGGGTCTCGAACCTGCAGGCTCAGGCAATCCACTCACCTCAACCTCTCAAACCGCTGGGATTACAGGCTGAGCCAGGGAGCCCGGTTTGCATGCATTACTTTAAATTGCCACAAGTAAAGTGCTTGTGGTAGCCAGTTTAAGATTTAATCCTTGAGTATTGATTTGGAAATTTATTTATAGTTTCAACAGAGTTTAAATTTGCATATTTTATAAAGAAAGATTTACTAAGCGAATGGATATTTTAAAGAAACTTTACAAGTGGTATAGTTAATCAACTTAAGTGAAATGTTTTTAAAAATAATCACTTTTTAAAAAGTAGTTTTAAAGCATTAAAATCATTCATATTTCTTAATGCTTAAAACTGATTTGAACTATGCTTCTAAAATACTTGTTGATTTGACTTTCCATTTAATTATAAAGGCCTCTTTTTTCAAATTAGAGAGGCTTTGATTCTTCTTATTGAAGATCTGTTTAAGATATATTGTTTTTACAATTATTATTTGTCAATTAAAAATTTAAAAAAAGATATGTTGTATTTAAGAATACGTAATTAGGCCAGGCAGTGGTGTCTCAAGCCTGTAATCCTAGCACTTTGGGAGGCCAAGGTGAGAGAATTGCCTGAGTCCAGGAATTTGAGCCCAGCCTGGACAACTTGGTGAGACCTCGTCTCTACAATAAATAAAAAAATAAGTTGGATGTGGTAGCGCTAAAGTGTAGTTACAGCTACTTGGAAGGCAGGTCGAGGCTGCGGTGGGCGTGAATGTGCCACTGCACTTCAACCTGGGTGACAGAGTGAGCCTCTGACTCAAAAAAAAAAGAATGCATAATTAATTTTGTGTCTTAGTTTTATCACCTAAGGTAGTATTTTTTTGAAATTGCCATTTAAAAATATTAGATGTTTGAAATTCAACATTTTAAAAAAGTTCTGCCTGTATGTCATATTTTCTTTCCTTTTTAGGATGGCACCATTAAAATTAAAGATCTCACCTTGCCTGAACTGATAGGGATAATGGATACATGTTTTTGCTGTTTGGTAAGAATTAAAATAAGACTGTTGATCAATTTTAAAGATATGACTTATTTGACTTTAGGATTTAAAAGCCTATACAGCAAGGTGGTATATGAAATATACGTAATACTGGGCCTACTAAGTTGTACGTAAACTTAACTGGCTATGGCCCGGTGTGGTGGCTCACACCTGTAATCTCATTACTTTGGGGGGTGGAGGCGGGAGGATTGCTTGAGCCCAAGAGTGTGAGACCATTTTGGGCAATGTTGCTGGGCATTGCCTCTACCCAAAAAAAAAAAAAAATTAGCCAGGTCTGGTGGTGCATAGCTGTAGCTGAGGCGGAAGGATCGCCGGAGCCCACAAGATCGAGGCTGCAGTGAACTGTGATCATGCCCCTGCACTCCAACTTCGGTGACAGAGTGAGATTCCAACTCAAAAAAAAAGGAGAAAAGATTAGAAGGCCAGGTTGTGCCCCAGGAAACAGCATTTCTTTTCATCTACCAGGGGGACCCAAAAAAACCTGGAATTATTTTTTGGTGGGCGGGCCCCTTGTAATACAGACTTGCCTCACTCGCTAAGTGTTCCAGGAACCCATCGGCATTAGTGTGCCAGCTAGCTTTCTGGGAGGCTTCGCTTGGCTTCAGTGAGTTTTTTTTTTTGAGATTTTTTTACGTATGTTTGCCCGTTTCATGAGGGGTGATTTACGAACGCACCTGCTCGTCCTGCGCTGAGCGTTCAGCAGTTTCTGGCCAAAAATGGTATGAGCTCCATGCCCTGTCCTTCCATCTTCACCTGATCTTGCCTTGGGTGATGCTTTTGGTTCCCTGGATGGAAAAAGTCCTCAAAGGGGAATGTTTTGCCAACGCGAAGGATGTGAAACAAAAAGTGGCAGAAGCACTGAAGGTGTCAAAATCGACAAGTTCAAAAACTGTTTTGAGTAGTGGAAAAAGCGTCTCCATAGGCGTATTGCCTCAAACGGAGAGTACTTTGAAGGGGACTGCTGATATTTAAACATGTAGGAATGGATACACAATTTTTTATAAATTCTGGGTTTTTTGGGTCTCCCCTCGTATGTGATCTTATGTTCTCCTTTTCTGGATGAAGGGATATTTTCTTTTCAGTGAAGATAATATTATAGCCATTATCCATAATATCCTCATTGTTCTCAAGTTACCCAGGAAATAAATCTGTAATTAGAAGTTTCCGTGGATAAGCATGGAATTGAAACAAAGGGAGCTTTTAAATAGCTTTGGAGAGTTTTTTCTAATCTGGGATAAATTGTAGAAAACTGGCCATTGTCTACTGTGAAGAATGTTGTTTAGTGATTTGTATATGCTGGATAGATGTCTTCCCTAGATAGTATTGTTTAATTGTGTAAAAGTTCTCATTTGTACTGCTTCCCCCTCCCCCAGTGACCAACCATTCCATTCTTTTTAAGTTGATGTTGTCATCATCCTTAGAAATATATAAAATTTGTTCATCATTTATTGGTTGATTGCCACTGCGTATATAGCGTAGTTTTATTGGGTGTTTTACATGTGTAATTTCCACTTAAGGTTTTACATCAGCTTTAGTAGATATCTGTAGTATCTTACTTGCCTGCAGTTAAATCACTAGGAAGGTGCCTACCCAGAATCCTAATCTTGATCCTTTGTCCTTCAAAGCTGTCTCTTTCCCTCAAAAATATCTTTTTTTTTTTTTTTGATTTGGAGTCTCACTGTCGCCGAGACTGGAGTGCAGTGGCCGCTCCTGGCCACCGCAGCCTCGACCTGCTGGACTCCGGCGATCCTTCCGCCTCAGCCTTCCAAGTAGCTAGAACTACAGGCTCATGCTACCACGCCCAGCTAATTTTTTTTTTTCTTTTAATTGTAGAGATGAGGTCTCGCCTGCCCAGGCGGGTCTCGAACCTGCGGGCTCAGGCAATTCACTCACCTCAGCCTCCCAAAGGCGTGGGATTACAGGCTGAGCCACCGAGCCCGACTCTTCAAAAATGTCTTTATTACCTTTAAGCAGTTTGCAGTCCTAATAGGGTGGGGAAGGGAGTCAGAGGATTGCTGGGGACAGACAAGTAAAGAAACAATTCTGACAGTATGTAAATTCTTGTATAATGATGCTTTTGGGACAGATAGGAAGAGGTAGGAAAGGGTCTGGAAGGGTAAGAAAGCCTGTAGAAAGGAAGTGACACTGCTATGAGATACTGAAAAATGGTAGGTGTATGTCAGGGAGATTGATAGTTTCATAGGCAGAAATGGGCATATTGGATAGACATTGGCAATTTGAAAATGCTCATTTTGGAAAGTCGTGAACGGCAGCTTATGGCTGAAATCTGGCAGGGAGCCAAGTGGGAGGAGTGTGGGACTGGTGGAGAGTGGTGGAAAAGAAGGGAAGGCTAAACAGGGAAGATTTTTGCCAAATTTGAGGAACTAGTCTATGAGACTCTTGGGAATGTGTTTAAAAATGTAGGTTTTACAAGCAGATGGTGTTTAGCCTGCAAGGTCTTTCTTCTGTCCTAGTTATACTAAATAAACTTCACTATACTAAATACACTTCACTATAATGTTTTTTGCATTCCTTATTTCAAAATGCAGTAACGTATCTTGCTCCATGGTAGAATTTTTGAGCTTTAGTATAAAATGCAACTCTGTAAACTTGGACAAATTATTTAAAGTCTATTACTCTGATTCTTCACATGTAAAAGGAAAAACATACCACCTTTCTCAAAGTGTTAGGAAAAACAAGATAAGATAGATGAAAATACCTAGCATAATACTTGGGACATAATGATTACCCAATTTTGGCTATTTTTGGTATTCCCAATCTCTAGCACGTGGTGTCATGCATATACTAGTTACTTAACAAAATAGTGTACTGCAGGGTGTGGTGCCTTACACCTGTAATACCAACCTGGGTGACAGAGTAAGACTCTGACTCAAAAAAAAAAGTGTAGAATTATTATCTTAGTGTTTTAGAAAGATCTCTCTGGTTGGGGGTATTAAATAAGAGCTGGAAGGCAGGAAAACCTGTCTAGTTTCTTGCAGTGATCTAAGTGAGATATGATGCTGTTGGCTGGATTAGTGGTGGTGAGGTTAGAAAAGAAACGTTGAGTAAGTGACTAAGGACCTGGTTAGTTCTAAAATTGTGTATTTCCCAGTTTATGGATTTTTACTGACTATACTGGAATCGATTGCTTTTGGATGCTACATAATTATAGAGGCCTTCTGTTTCATTAATTTCCAGTATGTCGCAAACTTATGTATGAGAATGCTTTCTATAGATAGCAAATCATTTATGTATATGATTTTTAAAAAACTTTAGTCCATGAAAGTGAATTCTAACTTGTCTTTTTTGACCTTTTTGCTTGTCTTTTACATCTTGTGACTAATCTTACACTTACTTGGGTGTGTGACACTCTGACATTGGGATCACTTTAGACTTTGCAGACTCTGTATATCTCCTTAAATATGTATACTCTTTTATTTTGTTATAGATAACATGGTTAGAAGGCCATTCCTTGGCACAGACAGTATTTACGTGCCTTTACATTCATAATCCAGACTTTATAGAAGATCCTGCCATGAAGGCTTTTGCTCTGGGAATCTTGAAAATTTGTGACATTGCAAGGGAAAAAGTAAATAAAGCTGCTGTTTTTGAAGAGGTAAGATTTTGTAATATAAGAACTTCTGAAGTTTATTTGACCCTTTTTTTCACTGTGATGTATTTAAATGATTGTATGACACCTATTTTTGTCCAAATGTATAGTTAAAAACAATTTTTAAAAGTGATGCTATTACTGTTTGCAGATATATTGGCTAAAGTAATTCACTTCTCTCCAAGAAAGGACTTTTGTCTTAGCATATGTTTTTTCTGTCAGTACTGTTCATTGAGTATCCATCTCATGCAAGAGTACATAATGTTCTGGATATTGCAAGAATTCCCAGAGAAAATGGAAGAGACAGCCTTTGCCCTCAACTCTTTTATCAATTATAACACACAAAGGCTATATTTTCTGTCTTTGGATAAGAGGAAGCTAAGCAAAACAAATATTTTAGTGTGTAAGCATTTTCCTCCAGTTTGTCCTAGGCACCTCACCCCAGGAATTTTTGTGAGTTTTAGACATAGATTTTTTTTCTTATATCATAAAAAATAAGATTTCAGATGCTGATAATTATAAGAGAAAATGTGATAGCGTTTGAGATTATTGATTAATAATTATTTTTGTAAAATTCTTCCGTTTGTTGAAACTGATAGGTTTCTTTTGAATGCTTTCACTGATCCAAAATAAATATCTTAGGCTTCAGCAGTGGTTTAGCGGATAGTATGTACAACTTTTCTAAATATATTATGTATGTGAGGATAATTAAATACTCAATATGATTGTACATGTTTGAATTTATGACTTGTGAGTTGTTTATGAAATAGCATATACTCTTTTACAGTCATTGGTTATTTACATATTTGTATTGATGTGGATGTCTTGGAAAGTTTATCCATTTGAATAAAATTTTAAAAAGATAAATTTGAGTGAGAAGAGAAATGCAGATCATTCTAAATTCTTCTAAATTACATCTAAAAGGACTTCAAAGTCTGTGGGCAGAGAAAGGATTAATTTAATGACAGTGCTGAGACAATTGATTTGCACTCTTGAAAGTTATCAACATTTCACATAAAATACATTCCAGATAGGTGAAATATATTAAGTATAAAAAAAGTTATCCAAAAACCAAAGGAAGATAGTTCACAGAAAATAAAATGGCCGTTAAACATAAGAAAAGATGCTTAACCTTAAGAGAACTGCAAATTAAACAGCTACCATTTTTTACTTGTAGTTGGCAAAGATTAGAAGGTTTTTTTGTTTTTTGTTTTTTGTTTTTGCGTTGGTGTCTCACTCTGTCACCCAGACTCGAGTGCTGTGGCTGCTCCCGGCCACCGCAGCCTCGACCTGCTGGGCTCCGGCAATCCTTCCGCCTCAGCCTTCCAAGTAGCTGGAACTACAGGCATGCGCTACCACACCCGGCTAATTTTTTGATTTATTGTAGAGATGAGGTCTCGACAAGTTGCCCAGGCAGGTCTTGAACCCGCGGGCTCAGACAATCCACTCACTTCAGCCTCCCAAAGCACAGGATTACAGGCAGAGCCACCGAGCCCGGCTGATTAGAAGTTTTTTTATATCAGGTTGATGAGGTTGTGAAAATAGGCACTCAGATACTGTGTGTGTGTATGAATGGACAATCACTGTTTCTTTTTAATCTTTTTTCAAAACTTTTTATTTGGACTAATGTCAAATTAATAGAGCAGTTACAGTAACAACACAAAGAACATCATATATTCCTTATGCAGAGTCAGCTGCTGTTGACATATTTCCCATTTGCTTTTTCAGTTGCTCTGTCTCTCTCACATATGCACATGTGTATTTTTTCCCTGAACTATTAGAGAGCAAGTTGCTCTCCATTATGAATGACATTCTTTTCCCTGATACCTGAGTGTGGCTGTCCTAAGAAAGAGGGTACTTTCCTACAGAACCACAACACAATTACCAACCTTCATATATCTATAATGACAGTGCACTATTCACATTCTATTTCTGTCAACTGACCCAATTCTTCTTAGCATTTTTCCCCCCTATAATACAGGATCCAATCTAGAATCCTGTCCTGTATTTAGTTATATATTTCTTTAGTATCCTTTAGTCTACAACAGGTCTTTAGCTTTTGTCTCCAGTGACGTTGATATTTTTGAGAACACAGACCTCCTGCTTTCCAATTTTTTTTTTTTTTTGAGTTGGAGTCTCACTCTGTCACCCAGACTGGAGTGCAGTGGCATGCTTCTGACCACCACAGCCTCGACCTGCTGGGTTCAGGTGATCCTTCTGCCTCACCTTTCCAAGTAGCTGGAACTACAGGCACACGCCACTACACCCGGCTAATTTTTTGACTTAATGTAGAGATGAGGTCTCACCAAGTTGCCCAGGCTGGTAGACTGGTCTTGAACCTATGGGCCCAGGCAGTCCTCTCACCTCAGCCTCTCATAGTGCGGAATTATAGGCATGAGCCACTGCACCCGGCCCTGCTTTCCATTTTTTAATAGACTTTGCCTCACTTAGGGGTTTGTCTGTTCTTTCCTCATCATTAGATTTAGGTTATGCAGTATTAACTGGAATACATAAGTGTGTAGTGTGTGTTTCTCAGGATATCACATGTCCCTCAGTGGTTTTATTATTTTGATTACTCCATCAAGATGTTGTCTGATTACCACGTGGCTACTACTTTTCCCTGTGTATTTAAGCAGTCTTGGGGTACACTTTAAGATCATAAAAATATCATGCTCACTCGTCTCTCCCCTTACCCTGAGCATGCATTGTTGTTGCTAGCTTGGACTAATGTTTACTGTGATGGTTGCCGAATGAAGATTTTCTGACTCTAGTTTTTATCCCACATTTATCAGTCAACACTCAGCATCTTTCTGTAAGCACGACTCATAATTTTATGATGGGATTGTAGATTCTTACTACTTTAAAAAAGATCAGTATATGATAATATCTATTATTATTTAGAACAACATGTCTTGATGCAGTGGTTTCACTTCTAGCATTTTATCCTACAATTATATTTGTGCTTGTACACGAAGACCTGTGTATGAAGACATTTACTGCATAACTAAGGTCAAGAAACTACCTCAGTATCCATCAGTCGGAGACTAGTTAAAAGATGCTACATTTATACAATCAAGTATTGTGCTTCCTTTAAAAAGAAGGTAGATTTATGTGTACAGAAAAGACTAAGTCTCCAAAGTGAGAAAAGTAAGGTGTAGAAAAGCATGTGTAGCTTGCTACCATTTTTGTTTTCTTTTTTAAGATTTGGGTGCTGGGCACAGTGGCTCACGCCTATAATTCCGGCACTTAGGGAGGCGGAGGTGAGAGAATTGCCAGAGCCCAAGGGTTTGAGACCAGCCTGGGCAACTTGGTGAGACCTCGTCTCTTCAATAAATAAAAAAATTAGCTGGGCATGGTGGCACATACCTTTAGTTTCAGCTACCTGGAAGGCTAAGATGGAGGGGATTGCCTGAACCCAGCAAGTCAAGGCTGCAGTAGCCATGAGTTCACCACTATGCTAGCCTTGCTGAAAGAGTGAAATTCTGACTCAAAAAAAAAGAGATTAGATGATTAAATCTTCATACACAATAGGATAATAGATACTGAGAATTGGGGTATATATCTGTACATACTGTTGGAAATTTTATTGTGTGTCTACATTGCTTTGTTTTTAAATAAACTAAGTTTTTAAAATAATAGAATAACTGAATTTCTATTTCTATTCTGGCTGAATGTCATACAAAGAAATGGCAGAAATCCTAAAGGAAAGGCCTAATGAGTACAAAAGTGATAGGAAAAGTTTAAGAAACATAAAGACTGTAAAGATAATTCATTTTAGTCTTATGATCACATTCAAATAAACCATAACACCGAGGCCCAAATGAATAAATGGGCAATAAAATACATTGCTCATTCATGAAGGAAGGTTATCAAGTAGTCATAACATTTTAAAAATTTAGCTTCAGTATAATTTAGGAATTACAAATTAAAATGAGTAGGTTAATTTTCATCTATACAATTTAAAAATGATAATTTTCAGTGGCAGGGATTCAGTAAGTGGACATTTTAGTTTTTACTCATGAGAGAGTCTTGAACATATTAATACCATTTAGACTAGTTATTTCACTTCTAGAATCAACCTATAATAAATAATTAGAAATGTGGACACTATATACAAGGTGTGACAATTAAGTTCGCAAACTCATCCTGGTAAAAGTGCTGCATGTCTCATTGCTGAATATCACTACAGTAACCTTTGAAGTACTCCCCTTAGGAAGCTATGCACCAATGTCAGTGCCTTGTCTACCTGTCAAAGCAATTTTGGAACTCTTTCTGGAATGGTCATCAGAACTGACGTTATATTACCCTTGATATCCTACATGACATCAAAATGTCTTCCTTTCAATATTTCCGTTATCTTCAGGTAAAGAAAAAAGGCATTGGAGACCAGATCAGGTGGATAGGGAGGCTATTCCAATATGGTCATTTGTTTACTGGCTAAAAACTCCTTCACAGACAGTGCTGTGTGAGCTGGTGTGTTGTCTTGATACAAGAGCTCCTTTGGGACAATTTTTGCACACACCTTTCACATACCAAGATTTTTTTTCTTTCTTTTTTTTTTTTATTTTTACTTTAAAGATGTGGGGTGCAATTCAGGGTTAGGTATATAAATCTTTGTTATGCAGGTACCTTAGTCAAAATTTTTTTAACTTTCTCTATCAATGTTTATTTTGTCTGTTGTGCCTCTCATAGTCATTTGATGATTTTGACACGCCAATTCTGTGAAAAATGTTTTTGTCATTTCAACTTGTTACTGGCTGTCCTGACTTTTCTTCATCCGTAACACTTTCTCTCCCTTCAGAAAAACATTTAATCCATTTGTACACTGCTGGTTTTTTTTGTTTGTTTTGAGTTGGAATCTTACTCTGCTGCCCAGGCTGGAGTGCCGTGGCACACTCAAGGCCACCCCAGCCTTGCCCTGCTTGGCTCAGGCGATCTTCTGCCTCAACCTTTCAAGTAGGTGGAACTACAGGTATGTGCTACCATGCCCAGCTAATTTTTTAAAAAATTTATTATAAAGACAAGGTCTTGCCAAGTTGCCTGGTCTGGTCTCGAACCCGTGGGCTCAGGCAATCCACAAGCCTTGGCCTCCCAAAGTGCTGAGATTACAGGCTCAGCCACCAAGCCCGGCCTGCTGTTTTCATTATGGCATTATTCCCATAAACTTGGACTAACATGTCCCTGATTTCACTTTCAGTCTTGCCAAGTTTAACAAGAAAAAAAATTTTTTTTTTTTTGAGTTGGAGTCTCACTCCGTCATCCAGGCTAGAGTGCAGGTCCACCCTAATGGCCACTCTGGCGTCGACCTGCTGGGCTCTGGCAATCCTTCCATTTCAGCCTTCCAAGTAGCTAGTACTACAGGTGCGTGCTACCACACCCAGCTAATTTTGTATTTATTTTAGAGATGAGGTCTCGCCAAGTTGCCTGGACTGGTCTCGAACCTGTGGCCTCAGGCAGTCCACTCACCTTGGCCTCCTAAAGTGCTGGAATCACGGGCTGAGCACTAAGCCTGGTCAACAAGAAATTTAATGTTTGTTCATTGCTCTAATTCAAGCTCTGACATTGTCACGATGGAACACAAAAACATGCAGCAACAATAATGAACACCACTCAGCAAGACACTGTCACATGTCGAACACAGCTGTGAGACAGATATACCAAGGTTACCAAACCTTACCAAGTTGTTTGTACAGTGCTACCTATGTAAGTGCAAGGTGACAAGTTTGTGAAGTTAATTGTCACACCACGTATGCCCAAATCAGAGTTTTTAGTAATGAACAATTGACATCAACCAAAATGTCACCTTTAGGGTTATGGTTGAAATAAGTTATGAATAATTTATTACTGAAATTGAATATGTAGCCACGAGCATGATGACAGTATGTGCATGGGAAAATGCATACTTTAGCCTTTTGCACTTGGAGACACCTTGCGGATCACCTACCAGCTACTCAGGCCACCCTTTTATTTTATTTTATTTTATTTTTTTTACAAAATAGTGGAAAACTAATTACTTCATATTAAATAGTATAGCATTGGGACCAGTTATTTTATTGTAAGGCTATTTGGCTTATAAGAGAATTTTGGACATCAAGGAACTTATGACAAAAAAATCAAAATGTTATTTCTTACCTTTTTCTGATGTGTGGTAATATGTGAAACAGCATTGCTGGTTCATTGATACGTGTTGTGCAACAGTAATTTGTCTGCTGTCTTCCACTTGGTGTTTTTCTATTTGAGCAGACAATGCAGTTTCATTTTCTTCCTTCCACATTAATAATATGTTATTTATTATGCAGTCTGTTGTTCGAATTCAATGTGAAAGGGCACACTCATGATTCCTGAAAACCTCTTCTCAACTGATTGATCAGAAGCTTGACACATTTTAAATGGTGTATAGGTTTTTCATTGTTTTTGATTGGAAAACTTCAAGGAATATATATTTTTGAGAAGTCTGCACTGGCACAAGTTTGTCCTGTATAATCATCAGCAATCTCTTTATGTCCTCTGAAAAGGGACATCTGAGTGGTTTCCTAGATCTCAGAGGGGACATCTGAATGCGAAGGGTTAAAACTGTCCCTCTGCCTTTTTGTGGTGAATAAATTACAGCAGGGACAGGTATGCTAGGTGGAGGACTTCTCTGGAGGTGGGTACAGAAGTGAGAGATGGTGGTAACTTAAGCTAGAGGTCGCTGTGAAGGGTGAGAGGCGGTTAGACTAGAAGTTGAAGATAGAGCCTGCAGGGTTTTGTGATGGAGTTTTTTCTGAATGTGGGAAAGCGAGAAGCCGAGGCCCAAGTTTTCAGCCTGAGCAACTGTAGATAGATGGCAGTGCCATTTGGTAATAAGGCAAGTGCGAAGAAAGTGGGGATCGAGTTCCTTTTGAAGAAAGAAAATTTGAGAATCGTATTTGATGTCAAAGTAGATATATAGCATAAACTTCATCTAGAGGATGGGCTTATAGCTCTGTAACATAATGATTTTTTTTAGAGACTTAATCATATGAATCATGTAATACCCTGGTTCTTCAAGGGCAGGGGCATTGCATTTCTTTTTCTTCTTCTTCTTACTGTTTGTGAGACACAGTACCTCACATGAATGTGATGCTTGTTGTTTTTGTCAAGAATCCAGAAGTTTTGCTATAGTTCTGGCCCCTTCTGTAACTGCCTATTATTCCATTATTTTAGACTTATTTTAGACTTCTAGCTATATTTTTGTAAGAATTACGATAAGCAGAAACATTTCTTTAATGGTACTTATGACTTAATAGAAGCAACCAGATGATATTAACCCTTTGCACTTGGATGTCCCCTCTGAGAGGACATCATAAATCTGGCAAACCACTTGGATATCCTCTCTCAGGAGACAGAGAGAGAGAGTGCTGGTGATTATATAGGACAAACTTAAATCAACGTAGATATTTTCAAAAATGGATGTTTCCTTGAAGTTTTTCTTTCAAATTGTGCGAAAAAGCAAGTAAAGAATATATACTGAGATATATGTAAAAAGAAATCAGGTAGCACATTATATGGAAAGAGAATGTGTTAACTGCTTTCACAGTAGTGTTGACACTAAAGGTAGCGGTGAAGAGCATTTGTGTAAGAAAGGCAGCTGTGGGTATACCTTTTCTATCATATGGTATAACTTGGAAAGATAGATAAGCAAGTTACTTTAGCTTTAAAAGAGAATTGAAGTTAAAGACAGATCATTACTACATGTTAGAAAATATAAGATATAAAATTTTGATTTTGTTTGTCATAAAACGTTCTTTAGTGTCCAAAAGTTCATTATAAGCTGATTATCATTAGAATAAAATAATTGATTCCAATGGTATATTATTTAATATGAAGTGATTAGATTTTCCACTGTCGTCTTGTAAAAAAAGAGCATTCGAGATGCTGGTAGGTGATCTGCAAGATGTCTCTGAGTTCAAGGGGTTACATTTATTTTCTTCAAAGTGAGTCCAGCAAGCCACTTAATTTGTTAATGACACAGCAGTGAAATTTTAAAAATGATTTTGGTGATGAATGTCCATGTGTAAGTTTTTGTTTCTTACAATGGGTTGTAGTAGAACATGGTTTTGCTGTCACTTTGAGTAGTTCTGTTTTTGAGGGCTTAACAGTGTGTGAGCAGGGATTTAACAATTTTGAAGTAAGTCTTGTCTAAATCTTGCAACCCTATCATTAAATGGTAATTATGATATGTTTATTGCTCACCTGTGAATGTGCAAATACTTTGTGAGTGGGAATGATTAGTTTGTGATATTTTTATAAGCATTACCCTTACTTTGCAAGTGAACATACTAAATGTGGATATATTTCAATTGCCAGATGCAAAAGCACACTACATAATGATAAAAGGTTCAAAAATAAATAAATAAATAACCTGAGGACTAACATTTGAAATTAAGGACAGAGAGCATTTGAAGATGGTGTTTTAAGTGCATGCATATAAGGAAAGTTTGGATGTATTATAACAGTATTTAGGCAAGTAGGATGACATTACATTTCTATGTTCTTCTTGAATAGTAATTTTGTAAGAGAACTATAAGCAAAGTTTTTGCTACTATTCACGAGCTTAATTATTCCCTTTTTGAACAGGAAGATTTTCAGTCAATGACTTATGGATTTAAAATGGCTAACAGTGTGACAGATCTTCGAGTTACAGGTAAAATCATTTATAAAGATAAGTCACAAGATTTACATTTTGATTTGTTTTCTTTTTAAACTTACTGTTTTTGCCTTTCTAGGCATGCTAAAAGATGTGGAGGATGACATGCAAAGAAGAGTTAAGGTATGTATGCTTCTTTTCTTCTTTGGTGTAGGTTTTGCTACTCTTCTAAATGTCAGGTTAGTTTTAGGTAATTATAAGCAGCTAGTATATGTAGAACCACCCATCTATATGCTTTACCTTTTTTGTAATGAATTTGAAGACTACTAGAGGAGGTTCTGTTAAATTCATGTCATTTTCAAGTACAGTCATCTCAGTATCCTTGGAGCATTGATTCCTGGACCCCCACAAATACCAACTTTCAAGTCTACTTAGGCTCTTCTATAAAGTGCCATCATATTTGCATTTAACCTATTCACATCCTCCTGTACACTTTAAATCATCTCTAGATTACTTATAGATTATTTATAATACCTCATACAATGTAAATGCAATGTGAATAGCTGTTAAACTATATTTTTAAAATGTGTGTTATTTTTTATTGTTGTATTTTCTATTTTTTTATTTTTTGCTTTGTGAATATTTTTGATTAGCAGTTGGGAGGATCTGACCTGCAGATACGGAGAGCTGAGTGTACTGAAGGTTTAACCTTCTCAATTCTTTCAGTTTTTTGCTAATGTTTTAGATTTTTTTGTATGCTATTTTAGGAATAAGATTTTTCTCCCACTAGAGTTTTAAGTTCCTTAAAGGTAAGAAATGTCACATTTGTGAGACTGACCGCTGCCTACTGCGCTAAGGAGGCAACTAAAGTGTCATGTTTGTATCTTTAATAGCTGATACAGTGTCTGGAACACAATTGATGAGCATAGTAAATGGTAGTATCCCAAAGATTGAAAGCATCCTTCAGCTGTGTGACCTTAATGATTTGCTATTTTTCATACTGTGAAAAGGGAAAAAAGTAAAAGTTACATTATTGCTGTTTTTTTTAACACTTGTATAATAGTATGCTGTCTGAGAAACTTAACATTTTTCTCTTTTTTCATTTTTACAATTATTCAGAAAATTAGGCAATTAAATGCACACAGTGCCCCACTTTTAGATCAGGGAAATATAGTTTAAAGGAGTTAAATGAACCTGTGTCTGAGTCTTACTTCAGGGCACATGCTTATAAGTGGCAGAACCATGATTAGAACCCTCATTTTCTTTTACCAGATCCTCCTGTGGTACTGCCTTGGTTTGGTCAAGTAAAATTGTCAGCCTTAACATTTGTATTAAGATGTTTTGTGTTTTAGTGTAAAACAGATCAGTGTTGATCACTTGACTTTGTGTCTTTATGTTGTGATTTTTGTAGAGGTTACTGTTTTTCTGTTAATTTTGAGAGCATCAAGAGTTTCGATTAATATTCAATCAATAGAGCCTTTTAAAGGAAAATGTACTGTGTAAATATGTTCTTGGCTTATGTTATTTCATTGTTTTGCTTTTGCAGTTTCAATACAATATTTCATTTTGCTTTTGCAGTTTCAAAACAATATTTCGTTGTTTCAATTCTTTTGCATGAATTTTGTAACTTCATGTCAACAAGAATTTTCTGTATATAACATTAGTAAGAGGAAAATAAGTACTGGACACAGCTGTTTTTTCTCCAAGTATTTTTCCTGAAAATTGATAGTTGTATATGCTTAGTAAATTAATTTAGTGCTTGACATTGTATTTTGTAATTTAATACTTTTCCAGGTTTGTGTTTGTTTTAATTCACCTTTTTTAAAAATTTTAGAGTACTCGAAGTCGACAAGGAGAAGAAAGAGATCCAGAAGTTGAACTAGAAGTAATTGAACTTATTTTCTGGTAGATAATATCAGAGAAGTCTACCTCTTAATGTTGTAGTTTTATGAACTGCGTTATAATTTATGGAAGCCCTTTTTAAGGTATTTCTTTAAAAATTAGACATTGCAAGGGATTTTATTTCCCTTGTATTTATTTTGATAGAATGATAATACAGCTCTTTCAAATACATGATTTCAAAACTCTTCGATATTCCTATGAGGTAGGAAGAGAAAATGATCTTTTACAGATGATGCATCAAAGCTTGGCAAAACTCAAGAACTTCTACAGTATCAAAAGTTTCTGAACATTTGTTGAGACTCTACATTTCTGACTGCTTAAAGCACTTTATGATTAGTTCTTTTTAAAATGCTAATTCAGTTGATTTTTTGAGATAGTAGTATAACTTTTGACTTAAAAAATATCAGTCCTGTTGATATAGAAACTTTTATTTCTGTTTCAAAAGAACAGGCTTTGTTTTGTTTTTTGCAGCTCGTTTTTCAGGCATAGAAAAACCTGTAAGTGAAGGAGTGTGTAATGTAGTAAGTTATTAGCATTGAGTTTTAGGATTTAAGATAATATATTTTAAAATGAGATTCCTTTTATGTCTTCTAACATCTAGCCCTTTCTTGTTTTTTAGCACCAACAGTGCTTAGCAGTATTCAGCAGAGTGAAATTTACTCGTGTGTTACTGACAGTGCTTATAGCCTTTACTAAAAAAGAGGTAAGGGCATGTACTATAATTTGTCTATTTTTGTGGTTTTTGGATGGAATATCTTACTGGAGTAGTTCTGAGACTTTTCCCTTGAAGTAGTCATCTGAAATATGCACCAGAGTAACCCTGATTATTTTCTTGAAGTTGAATGAATTTTATATTTTATTACTTATTAGTCAGTACAATAGTAGAAGCTGAAATTGCTTGTGGATTCTCGTATTTTGTGAATTGAAAACGAGAAAGTAAAAATGAGAACTTTAGTTAGACCTATTCTTTCCTTCTGTTACATAATTAACTGTTGAATTTGTATAGAACCAAAGGCAAGCTCTAGATGGTAAATACCTTTGCTCCCTTACCTTTAAATTTTTGCATGAATTCAATTACAGATGAATTTTTGAATAGTTCAAAAGTGGTGAGTAGAGGTCCAGTCTGTACCATTGATCTAACTTCTGTAATTCTGTTTTTTCCTGTATTTTTTTCTCTACCTTGATGAATGACATAGTAGAATTGTTGGAATTATTTTCTTTTTCCAGTTGACTGTGTCTCTGGTTTTTACTGTAAAAAAACAGATTTAAAAACTAAACCAGAAATAATTCCTGTTGTTTCTAAAAGGATCCTACAACATATAGATGTGAGTAAAAAAACAAAACAAAAGACAATTTCTATCCTAACAGGATCTTGACATATCCTGTATTAAGTGCATAGTTTGTGAAAACCAGTGTCATTACAGCAAGCATTTAATTTCATTATTGTTTATAGAATTTTCCTATTTAATGTATATCTTGCAGTGAAAGAATATGTAAGAATGTTTTTGGTGATTTATTTGCTAGACCAGTGCTGTTGCAGAAGCTCAAAAATTGATGGTGCAAGCAGCAGATCTTCTTTCTGCCATTCATAATTCATTGCATCATGGCATCCAGGCCCAGAACGATACTACAAAAGGAGGTAATTGTTCCTTTTTCTCCTGCTCTTTTTTGCTTCTTTCCCATACAAAATGTACAGTATTTGGTTTGTTCTAAAATTTCATTTAAGTTGTCTTGCCGGGACGTTGGAGTGTTTACTCCAGACTTAGAGCGTTTAGGCTCCTTTTTCTTTAAGTTTATTCTAGTCTGAAAAACAGTACCGTAGAACTCAGTCATTTCCTGTATCTTACTGTTTTAGACACTGATTGTGTACCCTGTCTTATGTTAATGCTGTGATTATCAGCAGTGAGAGACCATGACCTCCATTGCAATCAACTCTGACTCCACCATGCAGGCCTAGCTGTTCCCTCTGTGATCTCATGGACTCATACATGCCTCTAGTATAACATTAAAAAATTACAAAGCCGGGCTCGGTGGCTCAGCCTGTAATCCTGCGCCTTTGGGAGACTGAGGTAAGTGGATTGCCTGAGCCCGCGGGTTCGAGACCCGCCTGGGGAACTTGGCCAGACCTCATCTCTACAATAAATCAAAAACTCAGCTGGGCGTGGTAGTGCATGCCTTTAATTCTGGCTACTTGGAAGGCTGAGGCAGAAGAATTGCTGGAGCCCAGCAGGTTGAGGCTGCGGTGGCCGGGAGCGGCTACTGCACTCCAGTCTGGGCGACAGAGTGAGACTCCAACTCACAAAAAACCAAAAAACAAAAAACCCTGAAATGTGATTGTTGACCTATTTGCCTTTCTATGAAATTTTGAGTGCTTTTAGCTCAGGCACTGTCTTCTTATTTGTGTTTCTCTGTTGTGCTGGATATGTTATCGACACTGAGATTTTATTTATGAAATATGCACTAAAATTTTAAAGAAAGTGTACTTTTGTTGTAAAATTTATAATTGGTTTAACATTTTAGATAGTGTGCAGCAATTTTGATTATTCTTGAACTCAATAAAATGAGATGATATTTATATTCTTTTTTTTTTTCTTAACTACTTTGCCAGTCTTGTAGAGATGATATTTTTTTTTATAATTTTTTTTTTTTGAGTTGCAGTCTCACTCTGTCTCCCAGCCTGGAGTGCGGTGGCCGTTTCCGGCCACTGCATCCTCGACCTGCTGGGCTCCAGACATCCTTCCTCCTCAGCCTTCCAAGTAGCTGGAACTACAGGTGCACACTACCACACCCGGCTAATTTTTTGATTTGTTGTAGAGATGAGGTCTCACCAAGTTGCCCAGGCGGGTCTCGAACCCATGGGCTCAGGCAATCCACTTACCTCAGCCTCCCAAGGTGCAGCATTACAAGCTGAGCCACTGAGCTCAGCTATATTTTTTTAAATTAGTATTTCCTAATTGTTAACCTTGTGCTGGAATTACAGGCTGAGCCACCGAGCTCAGCCTGTTTTTTTTTTTTTATCAACAAGATATTAATGATGCAAAGCAAGAATCTAGTAGATAATTGGCATCCGATGTTTCTTTTTGCCATATCTGACTATTGTGAGCTGTTCTGCTCTGTATCTGCAGTCTTCAGGCAAACTCTTTTAGGTGGTGTGAGTTAACTTTGTAATTATCCCTTCATCATAAAGCCATACAAATTTATAATAAAAAAGTTAATGCCTTCCTAATGTGTATTCTAAGAAGAATAATGGGAAAATAATAGTGTAGATTAGTTTTGTTCTCTGGTTGCTTATTTTGCCTTCTGATAATTATTACAAACTCCAGCTAGTGACAGAAAGACTGTGTAAACCTTGGAATTGCTGAACATTCATGTTAACATCTTATCGAAAAGTTATATAATTAGTATGAGTTAGAAGCAGTGACAAGAAGGGAAAAAATAGCAAAAATCAGACTTGATCTGGTGGGTTTACTCAATGATTGGAAATAATCTTAATGAAGATGCTTAAGATGAGATTTGGAAGGTGATTTTTGTAGTGGAACTGTCTACTAGTAAAATTTGACCTAGAAAAATGGATAGAAAAGCCATGTTTTGGATTCAATTTTATATTAAGTGCTTATTGAAATTGAAGAAGTGGATGCATTTGCTCAGGGGTTGCTGGATTCAGAACCTTGGATTATGTCTTTGTGGAAGGAACAAAGGAGAAAGAGGATCCAGTGAAGCAGATGTGGCTCTTTTTTTTTCTCTCTGTTCATGTTGTCTAGTATTTTATAGTTCTTTTTATATGTCATGGAATTGTAGCTCATCCATTAAAATGATGTTCAAATAAACTCCAGTGGGACTTTTCTGGTTTTACTTGTCAAAATGTATTTCTCTCCCATGGTCTGTGAGTCATTCGTTAGGTCTGGTTTACCCTGTAGATTCTGAGCATCTTTAACAGCTGCTAATGGAAATAATAATTTTATTTAAATTGATGTTGCCTGAAATTGGTAGATAATTTTGGAAGTATATTTTCAAATTTGACACACACAGTTTGAAGAGGACTTGTCTTTTAAAAATAAATGAAAAGGTATCTGATTAAAGGTGGCGGGTTGAAGATATGAATTTACCTTCTGAAACCTCAGTGAAACAATGAAGAAGTGATTTTTAAAAAATAGGCAAAATTGACAAATAGGAACAAGACAGGAGACAACAGCATCAAAATTTTAGAAGTTGGAAGATAGAAGGTCATTGTCTTAGCTGTCTCCAAGTAACTGAATCCTTAGCCACTGATAGAGGAAGTCAAAGGCAACCCAGTGTATACTGTGGATCCCCTGAAAGACTCCGTTACTAGTTTACCAAATATCTCTGGAAATGGGCATGAGAATTAAGAGAACTGGTTGAAAATCTCTTCAGAAGCAGAGATTCCTCCCCCCACCTCCGTTTTGCTGGGTGCCATTTCTAACCTCAGAATACTAAGTTTATTCTTTGGCGTAAGAACAGAGGGATCCCTGAACTGAGGGGACAGGAGACCCAGCTGAAGACTACGCATTCTGCAAGAGTTAAGTAAGAAAGTTTAGATTCTTAATATTGTGACCTACTTTCTTCTCCCTGTCCTCACCTCAGTCTTCAGAACAGTGCAGTCAGGTTCATGCACTCCACTTAAGAGTTTAGAAGATTGTTCTTGGGGAAATCTGACAAGCCCAAGAAGCAGAGAAAAACAGCAGCATAATCTCAACACACTGTCAGCAGTTCTGATAAAAATGTCTTGCCTGAAAGGTGGACCTTGTTCACAGAGCTTTTTTTTTTTTGAGTTGGAGTCTTGCTTCGCCCAAGCAGGAGTCCACTAGCACACTTATGGCCACCCCATTGACCTGCTGGGCTTAGGCAATCCTTCTGCCTCAGCCTTCCAAGTAGCCAGAACTATAGGTATGTGCTATTATGCCCAGCTGGTTTTTTGATGTAGTGTAGAGATGAGGTCTCGCCAAGTTGCCCAAGCTGTTCTCGAACTCCTGGGCTCAGGCAATCTGCTCACTTCGGCCTCCCAAAGTTCTGGGATTACAGGCTTGAACCACTGTGCCCGACCTCACAGAGCTCTCAGTGGGGTTTTTTTGTGCTCCAGTTTCAAATCAGAGTATATCGTTGAGGGTGGAAATCTCTAACCTGAAAGAAAGAGAACAAAGTAGGCAAGCAAACAAAATTTCTTAAAAGAAATGAGAAAAGTCACATGTATTTGACAACAGTAAGATGGTATACAAAGGGAAAAAAGGTGAATATGTTCTTTGAGATTGAAAATATGAGAGAAGAAATGAGAAAAGTAAATAAGTTTAGAAGACAAAGTTGCAGAAATCTTAAAGTAGAGCTGAAAGTGAGAAGATGAAAAATAAGGAGAAAAAAGAATAAAGGTCTGCTGTGTAATAAGAACAAATAGATGGGAGAAAGCATAAACTAACAAAAGTTATTCCAGAAATAGAGCTTAGAAAATAAAATAACAACAACAAAAAAGAATCTTTAAGAAAATTTTCTGTAATCAAGCCATACAAGTACCTAGGTTGAAGGCCAATAAAAAGCTGCCCAACACAACTGGGATAAAAATTGACCTATATCATGGCATATCATTATGAAAGTTCAGAATAGTGTCAACAAACAGAAGATCCTAAGAGATTTGAAAGAAACAATAATAGCCACACACACAGAATCAAGACAGAAGAATGTTGCTGTACTTCTCAGCAGTAGTAGTGGATGCTCAAAATAAAAACAGAGTTGAAGCAGCAATACTTCTGATTCAAAACTTACACAGAGCTACAGCAATCAAGACAGTGTGGTACTGGATAAACATAGATTTTGATCAGTGGACTAGAAAAGGATTTAGAGTCAGGAAATGAACTCTCATATTAATGCTGTTTGACAAGGACATTAAGGCAATTTACTGGAGAAGGAAACGTTCAAAAAGGTCCTGAGACAACTGGATATTCACATGCAGAAGAATAAAGTTGGGTTGGTCATTGTAGCTCATGCCTATAATCCTAGCACTTTGGGAGACCGAGGTGAGTAGATTGCCTGAGCCCGCATGTTCAAGACCAGCCCAGGCAAGTTGGTGAGAACTCATCTCTACAATAAAGTAAAAAACTAGCCGGGCGTGGTAGCATGTGCCTGTAGTTCCAGTTAGTTGGAAGGCTGAGGCAGAAGGATCACCGGAGCCCAGCAAGTGGAGGCTGCGGTGACTGTGAGTGTGCCACTGCTCACAGTGAGACTCTTCACTCAAAAAATAAAATAAAGTTGGACACTTACCTCCCCTGCAGCTCATATGTAAAAGTCAATTAGAAATGCATCAATGCCTTAAATATAAGAACTGAAACCATAAAACTCTTAAGACAGCGTTAATCTTACATGTCATTTAAGAAAAATAACAATGAAAAATTGGCAAGGCATCTGAACAGACATTTCTCCAAATAAGGTATGCAAATGGCCAGTAAGTACAAAAAGATATGCAACATTATGAGCTATCAGAGAAATGCAAATCAAACTGAAAGGATATCGCAATCCACTCATTAGATGGCTTGTATAAAAAAGACAGATGATAATAAGTGTTGGTAAGGATGTGGAGAAGCTGTAACCTTCATACACTGCTGGTTGAAATGGGAAATGCTGCAGCCCATTTGG